ACAGATAAATGTGATTTAGGGATAATTCCCAGACCCCATTTTAGCATCTATTTTTAATAAACAAATATTATTACAACAGACATTTAAAAATGAAAAATAAGTACTCTGGAAACCCACTTCTCTAACGAATCCACTGCCTATAATTTTTCCACATTCTCTTCCAATTCTTGTCCGTAAATATGTCCCAAGTTTTACACAGCTGCAATCACTACCACACTCATTGTCATCAAGTCAGATCCGATTCATAACAACCCCTCCTTGGGTTTCCGAGGCGGTATCACTATGGAAGTAGATTGCCCAACCTTCTTTCTAAAGTGGGTTTGAACTGCCAGCCTTCTGGTTAGTAGTCAAATACCTCAGGCATTTTTTTAGTGGCTGCCTAAAAAGTTAACATGCCATAATTTGCCATTTTCCTGCTGATGGACATGAACAGAGACTTCAGCAAATATCTTCATGAATATAGTTTTTCTTTCTTTTTTATTTTCTAAAGGGGGTTAGATTATCTGTTTAGGGTAGAATTGCTTTCCACAAGGGCTAATTAATCCTGCAGCCAGCTGCATGCAAGCATAACCCTATCAGTTACATTGTCACAAGCATCATCATTGGTTTACATTTGTTAATTTGGTATTGTAAAATCAACTGCTGCTGTTGCTATTAGCTGCTGTTAATTCCTACTTAACCACTTAACGGTGACCCCCATGTGTGCAGAGGAGAACTGCTCCATGGGGTTTCCAAGGCTGTGACCTTGTGTTTATTTTGTTATTTTTGTATTCTTTTTTTGTTTATTAGATTGTAATTTGGGTGAAAGTTTACAGAGCAAATTCAACAATCCATACATTTTGTTTTGTGATTCATTATAATCCCCACAGTGTAACAGCACTCTTCCCTTTTCCTTCCTACGTTCACCTTTTACCTTTGTCCTTCTTACCTACCTATTCCTTCATGTCTTCTGAGCTTATAGGCCTGTCTGTCTGTCTTGACGGCAGTGAGTTTGGTTTTTTTATCACTTGACAGAAAGTTGAGCCATGGGGATGAGTTCAGTTCCAGGTTTGAAGGATGTCTAAGGGTCAGAAGGATGTTTCAAGGGTTCCACCAGTCTCTAACTGACCAGTAAGCCTGGTCTTTTTCTTCCACATTTTTCTCCCACTCTATCCAGGACCTTTCAGAGCAGTCAGCAGTGGTATCCAGGTACCATCAAGTTCTTCTGGTTTCAGGGTCGTGGAGGAAGGGATTCACATGGTCCATCAGTCTTCTGGACTCACTGTTTTCTTGCACCTTTGATTTTCTTCACTCTTCTTTGCTCCAGATGGGGAGACACAAATAGTTACACCTTAGATGGCTACTCACAAGTTTTTAAGACCCTACTTGCGTCTTACCAATTTAGGATGGAGAACATTGTCTTTGTGGACTATGTTATGACAATTGACCTTGGTGTTTCCTAAGACTATGGCTCTGAGCCCCAGGTCCAGTGACTTATTCCCTCAAGGTGTATGGTTATGGCTAACAAGTTTTCACAACTTTGCCCCCTGTATATTCTACTATATTCATGTATATATTAGTAGTACATATAAGTACATATGTAGAAATATCCTATCAAACCTATATACAGTTATGGGTGTAATCCCATTTGTGTTCCCACTCCTATTCAGCTTGAGTGTCTACCTATGTATCCACTCATACATTACTATTATTACTGTTATTGCCGGATTGTATATGTCATAGTATTCACCTGTGCTCCTTTAACTCTTGAGCTCCTCCCAGTGTCTTCCTCTGCCTTGATCACTTTGTGCTGACCTCCCCTTTATTGTACACAAAGGCTGTGAGCATTTGGAAGCAAATTGCCAGGACTGTCTTCTGAGGCACCTTGGGATGGGTTTAAACCTCCAACCTTCTAACTAGTAGTTGAGTACTTAACAATTTGTGCCACATAAAATTATTTAACCAATACTTTTAACTTAATCTTCAATTAACCTACTTAATGAGGTAAACAGAAATCGAAAACCTGGATTTTGCCATTCTTCTCCCTATACGTGTTTATATTGCAAATTGATGGCAAACCATGAAAAAGTGTGAAAAGGCAGTAAGAGAGAGAATGAGGGGCCAGAATAAAATACGAAATGGAAAAACCAGTTTAGAAACTGGGAATTAATTGTAGCCAAATGAATAAATTCCTTAGCAGGCCAAATTTGATCTATAGGGTTAAATAAATCAGATTTTTAAACCTGAAGAAGAGGAAAACTCAAGGATGCCTCCAGTCCTTTCAAGACAAGGAAGCCCTTTTGTATAACCTTTCTGAAAGCAATGAAAGAATACACTTCCACCAAAATAAGCAGCCATGTGGTTAAGTTAGATAGTGGGAGTTTTCTGGGTGTAAGTGTTGTTTAAGCCTTCAAATGAGTGGGAGGCTGTGAATCAAGAGAAGAAATTATTGAGGTGGCATTTGTTTTGTTACATATATTTTCACCACACACACACACACACACACACGCAGTTCAAGATAAAAAGCTGCTTCAAATGAATTTGATTACAATGGTGAACACTGAAAGGTTGGCAGTTCAAATCTACCCAGAGATGCACCGTAAGAAGCCTGGAGATCTATTTCCAAAAATTCAGCCATTGAAAACCCTATGGAGCATAGTTTATTCTGACACAGATGGAATTGACTCAACAGCAGTTGGTGGTTATTGCTGTTAGGTGCTGGCTGTCAAGTTGGTTCAACAGAACCATGTACAACAAAATGAAACACTGCTGGTCCTGTGCCATTCTCACAATCACTGTTATGTTTGAATCCATTGTTGAAGCCATGTGTCAATCCATCTCATTGATAGTCTTCTTTTTTGCTGACCTCTTACATCACCAGGTATGATGTCTCTCTCCAGGGACTGGTCCCTTCTGATAACATTTACAAAGTAAGTGAGATGAACTCTCACCATCCTTGCTTCTAAGGAGCATTCTGGCGGTACTTCTTCCAAGACAGATTTGTTCATTCTCTCACAGTCCATGGTATATTCAATATTCTTTGCTAGCACCAAAATTCAAATGTATCAATTTTTCTTTGGTCTTTCTTATTCATTTGTCTAGCCTTCACATGTGTATGAGGCAATTTAAAATACCATGGCTTGGTTCAGGCACACAGTCTTCAAAGTGACCTGTATGCTCTTTAAAACACTTTAAAGAAGTCTTTCACAGCAGATTTGCATGATGCAATATACCATTTGATTTCCTGACTGCTGTTTTCATGGGCATTGATTGTGGATACAAGTAAAATGAAATTCTTGACAACTCCAATATTTTCTCCAATTATCAATTATCATGGTCCAGTTGTGAGGATTTCTATTTATGTTGAGGTGTAATCCACACCTAAGGCTATAGTCTTTCTTTTTTTACTTTTTATTGTAATTTAGGTGAAAGTTTACAGAGCAAATTCATTTTCTATTCAACAGTTCACACACATTTTATTTTGTGACACTGATTATAAAGCCCACAAGGTAACAGCTCTCTTCCCACTTCCTCCCTGTGGTTACCTTTTCCCTGTGTCCTTCTTACCTATGCATTCCCGCCTTCTGGATTTTCTCCCTGCACAAATGCTGTCCTTTTGATCTCGCATGTTGACTGTTTCAAGGAGTGCTCCTCCTTGGTATAATTGTTCACCTCATGGGAGTAAGTTCAATTCCAGACCTGAATGGTGACTAGGGGCCAAAGTTTCAGGGATTTCACCAATCTCTGTCAGACCGGTAAGCCTTTTGAGTTTTGTTCAACATTTTTCTTCCACTCTATTCAGGATCTACAATTTTGATCCCTTTCCAAGTGTCTGGCAGTGGTAGCCTGGCATCATCTATTTCTTTTGGTCTTAGGGTCATTCAGGTTGAGGTTCATAAGTCCACTAGTCCCTCAGACTGATTGTTTCCATGCATCTTTGATTTTCCCCACACTTCTTTGCTCTGGTTGCAGAGAGACCAATTGTTGCATCTTAGATGGCCACTTATAAGCTTTTAAGACCCTAGTTGCTACTCACCAAAGTAGGATGTAGATCAATGTTTTTGTATGCTACGTTATGCTAGGAGCTCTGGTAGCATAGTGCCTAAGGCACTTCACTGCTAACCAGAAGGCTGGCAGTTCAAACCCACCAGCCACTCCTCGGAAGGAAGGTTGAGCAATCTACTTTCGTAGTGATACCTCCTCGGAAACTCAAGGAAGTGTCACTATGAGTCGGGTCAGACTTGATGGCACATAACAACAACACATTATGCCTGTAAGCTCAGCAACTCACTCCCTAAGGCTTTGATGTTTATAAGTAAGTGCTTCAAGTCACCTTCACTTTCAGCAAGTAAGGTTATATCATCGGGCGTACAGCGGGTTGATAATGAATTGTCCTCTAATCCTGATGCACTTTTCTCTTCATACAGTCCAGCTTCTCTGATTATTTGATCAGCATATAATGTGAATATGTATGGTGAAAGGATATAGTCCTGACACCACAGTCTTCCTGATTTTAAACCCCACGGTATCCTCTTGTTCTGTTCAAACGACTGCCTGTTGGTCTATGTAAAAGTTCTGCATGAACACAATTAAGTGTTCTGGAATTCTGACTCTCTGCAATGTTATCTGTAATTTTTTATGATCCACACATAGTTAATAGGCTTTGCATAGTCAGTAAAACACAGGTAAACATCTTTCTGGTATTCTGATACCTCTAGGTCATCTGTCAGTTTGTTTTACTGTGGTGGCTTGCGTGTTGCTGTGATGCTGTATGCTATGCTACTTGTATTTCCAAGTATGCTACCATCAAGTTCATCCATGGCAGCCAGGTTTCAGTGGAGTTTCCAGGCTGAGACACATTAGAGGACCTGGTGATTTACTTCTGAAAAAACTGATTAGTGAAAATCTTATGGACAGCTCTGGTAACCAGTTAAGAGGCAGTAACTATTAGCTGGCTCTAAGGTTCCATGATGATTCCCCCAGAACTCCCAGCAAGAAAGCCAACAGAGACATGAGCTTACTATTTATACTGCACCCAGTAGGCTACCGGCCTTGTGTCATTGTTCAGGGACACCGGCTCCCAGCTCAGAACCTGCTCTGCGTTGTACAGGCGAATCTTCGGGTTTTGAGGAGCAGGCAGCTGGGAAAGAGAGTCTTTAAAATGACAGAGAACCAGAGAAGACAGGAGAGGGAGAGAAAGAGAGGGTAGAAAAGGAGAAAACTCAATTACAGAAATACTTAAATGGACATAAAGTCATTTATAACCACTCAATTTTTGTCAAAATGAAGACAAAGTATTACCTGTTCTCCCTGAGCATGACCCCCAACCACCCGACATGTGACTACAAAGACAGCACTACTGACACAGTAGAAAACAGAGGTACTTTGAGCTGCCTTTCTTTCTACCTGCCGGTTCCAGTCCTTAATGAATAGGCCCTGGGCACTGTTGTAACATTAGTAAGTGCCTGTGAGTGGGCATGTTTCTTAACCTGTCTGTGCCTAGCTTCTTTTTCAGGAACAAGGGATAAGTAATAGTACAACACATACGGCTGTGGTGAAGACTGAATTGGTGAATATTTAATATGTATTAGCCCCAGACTAGTATTAAGGATGTGTTTGGTAAACCTTCACAAAACACACTGTGTTACACATGCAGGTTGTTTCAAAGGCTGTCTCCAGATTCTAAACAGTCAGAAGACTGCTAGGATGAGATTCCACCCTGTAGCATCAAGCATCCTATGGGTATTATGTCCATCACAACAACAGTCTGGCTAAGCTGCACATGTGAGTCATTCACAAAGTGTTGGCAAATGAAAGCAGTTTAATTACTCACAGATAACAGACAGCAAATGACAGGAAGTGGGAACCGTGGCCCTGGCTCAAAAGCTATCTGGGTGGAGATGGATGTGCCCCCACTTTGTACTCTAGATGAGCGACCCTGAAGTCTGTCCCCCAGCCAGTTTTATACTCCAGAGGGTACATGTCTCACTGCATGAAGTATAAGGTAAATTTCCCCACCTGATCCCTTGAGGGGCATGATTAGACATCTGGACGCCAGGTGAGATTTCATTACTTTAGCCTTGCTGCTTATCTGATAGGGAAGGAGGATGGTTTGTTCCTGGGTCAAATGGGTCTTCTGGGCTTCATGAGAGTGGAAATGTTTCTCAAGGACCTCCAGCATCCCAACCACTGAGCTCAAGCAGCTCACTGCCACTGAGTTGATTCCCACTCTTAGCGACCCCCATTGGGTTTCTGAGGCTGTAAGTCTCTATGGAAGTAGATCACCCTATCTTCCTTCTATGGAGAAGCTGGTGGGTTTGAAACTTTCTGTTTAGCAGCCAAATGCCTTATTTACCACGTCACCAGAGATACATGTTAAAATGCAGATTCCCAGGCTCCCCTCCAGCCCAGGAGAGATAAATTTCAACGAGCTTTCCAGTTGATTCTCATGCACCTTAAGTTTGAGAACTAGAAACGGTAGAATAATACGCCCTGTGGAACCACCACCAATATCAGAGTCCCCTTCCTTCAGGTGACCTGAAAAAAACCACCTCAAGCTACCCACACAGATGTGGTTCAGAAGTAGGCTATGCATTGAAAGCACGGGCACCTTTTCTCCAGTAAGAAAACACTATGATGATGACACTTTCTCTGAGATTGAAAGATTAACGAGAAACACCCAGAAGGCGGAAAGAATGGCTTGAAAAACATGCTGTTCCAGACTTTGTTCAAAGCAGGAAATTCATATATCACGTTATCAGTATTGCATCCAATCTTGAAGAAAGGGCTCAGAGTGGCCTGCAGCCAGGCACACACCTCTTTTTCTGCAAGATGCCTAATCTGGAGTTTTGAGGCACCTGTTGATTTACAGAATGCCTATCGCCTCTCCATCTAGGACCTCTGGCTGACCTCCATTTGGGATCCTTATTCAACCAGCCAATCCTTATTCACACCAGTACTCTCTGGAAGCCAAAGGTGGAGAGATGAGTGAAGCAGCAAAGCTGATAAGTATTATCACCTTGGGTTGGTACATTCCTTGGCCAGGCCTGTCTATACACTGTGGCTGCTGTGTCATAGGTGATCCCCAAACTGAGCTAAGAACTGAAGGTCTGCTTCTAGGAGGGTGGTACTGTGCCAGGGCAGGGGCGGGGGCGGTTAGGGCCGAATCTCAGAGAGCTTCTCTTACTGCCTGTATTAGTTCCCTATTGCTACTGTAAAAAATTACTGAGAACTGAAAAAAACAAAATAAAAGTTGTGCTGACTCTGACTCACGGTGAGCCCATGTGTGTCAGTGGAACTGTGCCACATAGAGTTTTCAATGACTGAAATTTTTGGAAGTAGCTCACCAGACTTTTCATCCAAGATACCTCTAGGTGGACATGAACCACCAACTTTTTGGTTAGCAGTCAAGCATGTTAACCATTTGCAGAACATGGTTTAAAACAATATAATGAATGCCCCTCGAAGAGCCTCCAGAAAGGAACACTGTCCCACTGACAGCTTGATTTTAAGTCCAGTGAGACCCATATCAGACTTGTGACCTACAGAACTATAAGATAATAAATTTGTGTTGTTTTAAGGCATAAGTTTGTTACACAGAAGGAAGATGGGGCAATCTACTTCTGTAATGATACGCCTCGGAAATCCAAGGAGGGGTTGCTATGTGTCCTCCGACTGGACAGCACGTAACAACAAGTTTGTTACAGTAGCAACTGGAAACTAATACAGTGCCTATGGGTGCACAGCTCCATGATTCTTGCTATACTTGAGCCCATCACCCCTGCCACCGTGTCAATCCATCTCGTTGAAGGCCTCCCTCTCTTTCATTGACCCTTCACCTTACCAAGCATGACATCCTTTTCCAGGGAATGGTCCCTTCTGACAACATGACTAAAGTATGTGAGATGAAGTCTGGCCAATCTCACCTCCAAGGAGCATTCTGGCTGCACTTCCTCCAGGACAGACCTGTCAGTTCATTTAGCAGTCCACGGGAGTTTCAGCATTCTTTGCCAACACCACAGCTCAAAAGCATCAATTCTTCTTTGGTCTTCCTTATTCATTGTCCAGCACTCACATGCGTACGAGGTGACTGAAAATACCATGGCTTGTGTCAGGCACAACTTAGTCCTCAAGGAGACATCTTTGCTCTTCAGCACTTGAAAGAAGTCCTTTGCAGCCAATTTGCCAGTGCTATATGTCGTCTGATGTCCTGACTGCTGCTTCCATTGGCATCAATTGTAGAATCCAGTAATGTGAAGTCTTTGACAATTTCAATCTTTTCTCCATTTATCGTAAAGTTGCTTATAGGACCAGTTGTGAGGGTCTTTGTTTTCTTTATATTGAGACGTAATCCATACTGCAGACTATATTTTTCAATCTTCATCAGTAAGTACTTCAAGTCATCCTGACTTTCAGCAAGCAAAATTGTGTCGTCAGCCTATCACAGGTTGTTAATGAGTCTTCCTCCTAATGCCATGTTCTTCTTCATATAGTCCAGCTTCTGAGATTATTTGCTCAACATACAGATTGAATAAGTATGGTGAAAGAATACAACCCTGGCACACTCCCTTCTTGACTTTAAATCATGCAGTGTTTCCTTTTTCTGTTCAAACGACAGCCTTCTGGTCTATGTACAGGTTCCTCATGAGTACAATAAATGTTCTGGAATTGCCATTCTTCTCAATGCTATCCAAAATTTGTTATGATCCACACAATCAAATGCTTTTGCATAGTCAATAAAACACAAGTAAACATCTTTCTGGCATTCTTTTTTTTTTAATTTTTATTTTTTTATTGTGATTTGGGTGAAGAGCAAATTCACTTTCCATACTGCAGTTCTTTCTGGTATTCTTTGCTTTGAGCCAAGAGCTATATGACATCAGCAATGATATCCCTCATTCCATGACCTCTTCTGAATCTAGCTTGCATTTCTGGAAGTTCTCTATCAATATACTGCTGCAACCATTTTTGAATTATCTTCGGTAAGATTTTACTTGCATGCAATATTAATGATATTGTTTGACAATTTCCACATTCTGTGGGATACCCTTTCCTTGGAATGGGTACCAATATAGATCTCTTCCAGTCAGTTGTCCAGGTAGCTGTCTTCCAAATCTCTTGGCATAACTGAGTGAGTGCCTCCATCAGGACATCCGTTTGTTGAAACATCTCAGTGGGCATTCCATCAATTTATGGAGCTGTGTTAGGGGTCCAGCCAAGTTGACACACAGCTCCAACCATCACAGGAGCCTTGTTCTTCGCCAATTCTTTCAGTGCAGCTTCAACTTCTTCCTTCAGTACCATTGGTTCTTGAACATATGCCACCTCCTGAAATGGATGGATGAAATGGATGACTGGTTCTTTTTGGTACAGTGACAATGTGTATTCCTTCCATCTTCTTTTGATGCTTCCTGCATCACTCAATATTTTGCCCATAGAATCTTTCAATATTGCAACTCGAGGCTTAAATTTTTCCTCAGTTCCTTCAGCTTGAGAAATGCCGAGTGTGTTCTTCCCTTATGGTTTTCTAACTCCAGGTCTTTGCACATTTCATTATAGTAATTGGCTTTGTCTGCTGAAGCTGTTCTTTGAGATCTGTTCAGCTCTTTTATCTTGTCATTTCTTCCATTTGCTTTAGCTACTCTCCAATCAAGGGCAAGTTTAAGAGTCTCCTCTGACATCCATTTTGGTCTTTTCTTCCTTTCTCATATTTTCAATGGCCTCTTGCTTTCTTCATGGATGATGTTCTTGATGTCATCCACAATTCTTCTGGGTTTTGGTCATTGGTGTTCAATGCATCAAATCTATTCTTTAGATGGCCTCTAAATTCAGGAGGGCTATATTCAAGGTCATATTTTGGCTCTTGTGGACTTAATTGTCTTCAACTTGAAGTTGAACTTGCATATGAACAGTTGATGGTCTGTTCCACAATCAGCTCCTGGCTTTCTTTGGCTGATGATATTGAACTTTTCCATCGCCTCTTGCCACAGAGGTAGTCAATCTGACTGACTCCATCTGGCGAAGTCCACGGGTATAGCTGCCATTTGTGTTGTTGAAAAAAGGTATGTGAAATGAATAAGTCATTGGCCTTGAAAAATTTTATCATGTGATCTCCAGTGTTCTTTCTGTCACCAAGACCAAATTTTCCAACTACTGGTGATTCCTCTTTGTTTTCAACTTTTGCATTCTAGTCACCAGTGGTAAGCAACACATCTTGCTTGGATGTTCAGTCAATTTCAGACTGCAGAAGTTTATAAAAATCTTCAATTTCCTCATCTTTGGCTTTGGTGGTTGGTGTGTAAATTTGAATAATAGTAGTATTAACGGGTCTTCCTTGTAGGCATATGGATATTATCCTATCACTGACAGCACTGTACTTCAGGACAGATCTTGGAACATTCTCTGTGAAGATGAATGTCACACCATTCCTCTTCAATTTGTCATTCCAGGCATAGTAGATCATATGGTTGTCTGATTCAAAATGCCCAAAACCTGTCCATTTCAGCTCACTAATGCCTAGGGTATCAATCTTTATGTGTTCCATTTCATTTTTGACAACTTCCAATTTTCCTAGATTCATACTTTGTACAGTCCATGTTCTGGTTATTAAAGGTGCTAAGATGATTACAAATAGAATCTTTAACCCTCATGTAATTAAGTCATTAAAGAGTCAGTTTAAGTATAGTTTTTTAGTGCTGTTGATTACATTTTCTAGCTAAAGCAATGGCTACCACTTAAACAGCATCACTACAAATTGTTAGGTCCAATGTTTTACATATATTATCCTTACAACATGTCTAGGGGTAGGTACTAGAAGTCTGGCTTTCAAAATTTTGTTTCCAATACTCTAATTTTTTCTCTAACCATATAAGCAATGCCATGATTATTGACAGACATACAAATTATGGATAAGCATGGAAAAATTCCCACCACTGGTTTACTATAGCAGGACTTTGGCTGCTAACCAAAAGTAGTTCAACCCACCAACTCCTTGGTGGGAGAAAGATGTGGTAGTCTGTTTCCATAAAGATTTACAGCCTTGGAAGCCCTGCACCAAACCAAAAAAAAAAAAAAAAAACCCACTGCCGTCCAGTCAGATACAACTCAATAGCAACCCCTCCTTGTGCTTGTCAGGCAGTATCACTATAGTAGATTGCCCAGCCTTCCTGTAGAGAAATTCTA